CTCTGTGTCAAATACCATCTGGTTAAACATTTCTATTTAATTTCTACCGTGTTCATGTTCATCACCCCATATGTTAATTTAAACATTTTATTTCTCTGTGATTCATTCATTTTTGTTCCCAGTTCCCTTTTCCATTTCTCTTAAGAACAGCGGAGGACCCCCCCCCCCCCCAATTCAGCAAGAATCTTATATATCCCAGAAGTGTTGTGTTTAGGAGCCATACTAGAACCCAATATCTTTTCAAACTGGAGCATGTCCTCCGCCATCCTCAGTGGTTGAGGCAACTTCGAAACAAAATGTCCTAATTGATAATATCTCAATTCATCTAGTGTCACAAATATCTCTTTTTTTACCCTTTAAGTCTTGAAAGGTACACAACTTCCCCTTAACTGCCATATCCCCCAACCGTGCATCTACATCTTTTAAAGAAAAAAAAAAAAAAAAAAATGCTGATAAATGTCCAGAGATATCCAAAAATGGCTGAATTGCCCGCTCACCTCCCTCTTGCGACCCGCACAGGGTCAAAAGGCCTTCAGGATCACTAACACATGGACCCTTAATAGTAGGTAATCCTCCACAGCTCTCCACACTGACCTCCCCTCATATACTGATTCAAGTACAGGCTCACAGGGCAGCAGATCTCCTCTTCAGGCACATAAGGTGGCTGCAGCCACTTGATCCCTCAGAAAATATAAGTGAATGCTTGCATAGCGTAAAACTATTTATTCACCAAACAGCATTTTTTTTTTTTTTCTTCCTTCAAGAATTGCTGTGGACTTTATATATGTTTTTTTGTATATTGTATATTTGTTGGCATGATCAGTTCTTAGTTTATGCATTTATTGGGATGCACGTGTGTTTTGTGTTATATGGTGGGAACTGATTTTTAGTTCCGGTGGGAGGTATTTTAGCACATTGAGTCCTGTTGTGACTTACATGTTTGATTTGGAGCACTATTGGATCCCATTGGAATACTTGGGGCACCATTTATGTTATTTGGTCCTTTTAGGACCTCGTATTGACACTTGTCACACGTGATTATTTATGAGTTTTTTGGCACTATTTAATATTGTGTGTTTATGTATGGGCAGCACAGTGGCTAAATGGTGAGCACTTCCGCCTGGCAGTACTAGGGTCGTCGGTTCGTATCCCAACCATGGCGCCACCTGCCTGGAGTTTGCATGTTCTCCCTGTGCCTGCGTGGGTTTCCTCCGGGTACTCCGGTTTCCTCCCACACTCCAAAGACATGCTGGTAGGTGAATTGTCTCCTGTCTAAATTGGCCCTAGTATGTGTATGTATGAATGTGAGTTAGGGACCTTAGACTGTACACCCCTTGAGGGTTAGGGACTGATGTGAATGTACAATATATATGTAAAGTGCTGCGTAAATTGATGGCGCTATATAAGTACCTGAAATAAATAAATAAAATAAATAATATGTTATTTGTGTCACTAATTTTGCACTGCTTCACTTATTCATTTATGTGTGAAGAATTTTTATGGTAGTAGCGCTGCATCATTTGTATTTCATTTACATCTTTAAACCATCTCCCCGAAATATTATCCTTCCCCTGCGGGAAAAAAATCAGTACCCACCAGGGGAATCAACAGTGAATTAAACTTCCAGTCCATTTGTTTGTGTATTCCATCGCATACTCTTAACACATCCTGTGTCAGTGTGCTACTAGTCTCATCCAAAATACGAAACTTTCGTGGTATCCAAATAATCTTCTCAAGTCGTGTGTTAAAGTGCCTTCTATTTTATCCCAACTCTTCCCCTGTGAGTTATATGTCCAGTCTACAATTTGTGACAGTATCACCGCAGTGTAACAGTTCTTAATATCGAGTAAATTTAATCCGCCTTTTTCTTTCTTATTACACTGGAGTTCATATCTAATTCTCGGTTTCTTATTAGCCCATATATATTTAAGTATTAATATTTTTATTATGGCAAAGAAGGATCTTGGGATATGGACTTGGAGCATATGGAATTTATAGAGGATTTTTGGGACTATCACCATTTTAACCAAATTTATATGCCCAATCCAAGAGACCCTTCGTTTATTAAAGGGATATAGTTTACCTGGTATATATTTTTTATAGGAGTCAACTTGACTCCTAGGTAACTTAACTCCTTCTCCCTCCATGAGAATGGGAAGTCCTTTTGTAGGGTCTGCATCTCTTTCTTTGAAACACTGAAAATAAATATCTTTGATTTTATGGGATTTATTTTCAAGTTTGAAAGCTCTCCATACGCTTTTAGTTATCTCATTAGGTTAGGTAGTGTTAACCCAGGGTTCACAATATAAAACAGCATATCATCAGCATATGCCGCTACCTTATGCTCTATCTCCCCTATCCTGATTCCTCTAATCTCTATACTCTCTTACCGTCGTCAACAACAGTTGCTGGGATATAACAAATAATAACGGTGATAAGGGGCAACCCTGTCTTGTACTATTGTACATCTTAAAAAATCCCAAGGGAAACCCATTTACCTTAACCGCCGCTGTCGGGCCATTGTAGAGCTTCTTTATCCAACTCATCATCTTAGTCCCTATTTCCAAAACCTCCACAGTATTCATCATGAACCCCCAGTCTTTCCTGCCAAAAGCCTTTTCAGCGTCCAACGACAACACTATTATTGGTAACTTTTCTCTCTTTGCCTTCTGCAAAAGAAGCAATGTTCTTCAACCATTATCCCTCCCTTCCTTTCCTGGGACAAAGCCCACTTGATCTAAATGTATCCATTCAGACATCAGCTCTTTTAACCTGGTAGCAAGCACCTTTGCAAACAGTTTTGTATCTGTATTTAAGAATGATATAGGTCTATAGCTAGCACATTGTGAGCCATCCTTTCCTTCTTTTAAGATGATCGTTATATACACTTGCAGCGATTCTGCTCCTATTCCCATTCCCTCTCATAAAGCATTCATATATGTACAAAACTTAGGGACCAATAGGTCTCTATATTTCTTATAATACCCCACCGTATACCCGTCAGGTCCTGGGCTCTTCCCTCCTGGTATTCTTCAGGGCCCTATAAATTTCTTCCTGGGAAATCGCTTGTTCTAAAGACAGTAATTTTACTTTTGATATTTTTGGCAGGTCTGCTGCTTTTAGGTATTCCAGCCCTTTCCCCCATTTTCTTCCTCTGTAACTTTTAGGTTCTTAAATTTTACATCATACAGCCTACTATAGAATTTTTGGAACGTTTCAGCAATATCAGTGGTGGAGTAGACCAGTTCTCCTTTTTCATCCTTAATTTTTTCAATATGTTTTTTGATTTCTTTTCATCAGGTATTTTCCTGGTCTACTCCCCCACTGGTATAATTCCTTTGAAACCCTATTGAAAATCCTCCTTGATTCCTGTTCCAATAGGTCTTTTAACTCTCCTCTTTTAAGTATGATCTTCGAATAAATCTCTGTGACCTGTCTCTTTTTTTATGTGCCTGTTCTAATCTATATAGTTCCGCCATCACCTCCTTAATTTTTCTCTCACTCCACGATCTTTCTTTTTTTTCGCTCCTGTAGCTATCAGGATCCCGATAGCTGCAGGATCCTGACCTGCTTACTAATGGAGTCTAGGAAAATAGTGAAGTCGCTGGGAACCAGGGAACAGGCATTTGCAAAATACTATTATGTGATCTAATGATTTATGTAAAAGGTGAATATTAAACCATAGGACAACATATCCTCCACCAGTCTGATAGGAAAATGGGATACAGTAATAGCTTATTGGATAACAGATAGACATGCTAAGAATAGATTACCAACCTCTTTGTCAGGAGTTGCTGTACTGTCATCCTGCTGATCTGTCATTGAAGAAGTGCGACTCCTGTTTCCTGATGGAGTTGATCTTGGATTACCCTAATACACAAAAGATCTTTTAGAAAGCACTCTCAGTTCCACCCATGGACCCCCTATACCCTTATTCTTAAAGGAAAATGTTGGTTCTGTCCTGTATTCAAAGTGAAAAAAAAGTATTTTTTTATATACACACACAATTTCACAGAAGTGAGTACACCCCCTCATATTTTTGTAAATATTTTATTATATCTTTTCATGTGACAACACTGAAGAAATGACACTTTGCTATAATGTGACGTAGTGAGTGTACAGCTTGTATAACAGTGCAAATTTGCTGTCCCCTCAAAATAACTCAACACAGCCATTAAGGTCTAAACCGCTGGCAACAAAAGTGAGTACACCCCTAAGTGAAAAATGTCCAAATTGGGCCCAAAGTGTCAATATTTTTTGTGGCCACCATTATTTTCCAGCAGGCCTTAACACTCTTGGGCATGGAGTTCACCAGAGCTTCACATGTTGCCACTGGAGTCCTCTTCCACTCCTCCATGATGACATCACGGAGCTGGAGGATGTTAGAGACCTTGCGCACCTCGACCTTCCATTTGAGGATGCCCCATAGATGCTCAATAGGGTTTAGGTCTGGAGACATGCTTGGCCAGTCCATCACTTTTACCCTCAGCTTCTTTAGCAAGGCAGTGGTCATCCTGGAGTTGTATTTGGGTTTGTTATGTTGGAATACTGCCCTGAGGCTCAGTCTCCGAAGGGAGGGGATCATGCTCTGCTTCAGTATGTCACAGTACATGTTGGCATTCATGGTTCCCTAAATGAACTGTAGCCCCTCAGTGCCGGCAGCACTCATGCAGCCCCAGACACTCCCACCAACATGCTTGACTTTAGGCAAGGCACACTTGTCTTTGTACTCCTCACCTGGTTGCTGCCACATACGCGTGACACCATCTGAAGCAAATACGTTTTATCTTGGTCTCATCAGACCACAGGACACGGTTCCAGGGCAGCACAAAAGCAAAATACACGTGTGTGTGTGTGTGTACATGTGTATATATATATATATATATATATATACACATACATACACATATATATATATATATATATATATATATATATATATATATATACACACACATAAATATATATACATATATACACACACAAAAGTATTGGGACATCCCTCCAAATCATTGGATTCAGGTGTTCTAATCACCTCCATGGCCACAGGTGTATAAAACCAAGCACCTAGGCATGCAGACTGCTTCTACAAACATTTGTGAAAGAATGGGTCACTCTCAGGAGCTCAATGAATTCAAGCGTGGTACTGTGATAGGTTGCCACTTGTGCAATAAGTCCATCCGTGAAATTTCCTTGCAACTAAATATTCCACTGTCAACTGTTTGTGGAAATAAAACAAAGTGGATGCAACTGGGAAAAACAGCAAATCACATGGCAATTTGCACCCTATTGTCTGCAATTAAAGTGGTCAAATCAGTGCGATTCTGACTTGGTCAGAGCAGCACTGATATTTAAAGTAATGCATGCACTACTTCCGGTGCAACTTACATCTAGATGTCTTGCAAGTCACACCTCAAGTCGGAATGACAGCAGATTTTTAAATTGTGCAACTTTACTGGAAGTCACGCGATTTCCAAGTCGGATCGGTGTGACCAGGGGAGGGGGGCGGTTAAGGCGTCAGCAAACAGACATTTTGGACAATTTCATGCTCCCAACTTTGTGGGAACAATTTGGAGATGGCCTGTTCCAACATGACTACGCACCAGTGCACAAAGCAAGGTCCATACAGACATGGATGAGCGAGTTTGGGGTGGAGGAACTTGACTGGCCTGAACAGAGTCCTGATCTTAACCCGATAGAACACCTTTGGGATGAAATAGAGAGGAGACTGCGAGCCAGGCATCTCGTCCAACAGTACCTGACCTCACAAATGCGCTTCTGGAAGAATGGTCAAACATTCCCATTGACACACAAGTGTTGTGGACAGCCTTCCCAGAAGAGTTGAAGTTGTTATAGCTGCAAAGGGTGGGTCACCTCAATATTGAACCCTACGGACGAAGACTGGGATGCCGTTAAAGTTCATGTGCATGTAAAGGCCGGCGTCCCAATACTTTTGGCAATATAGTGTGTGTATATACAGTGGATATAAAAAGTCTACACACCCCTGTTAAAATGTCAGGTTATTGTGATGTAATAAAATGAGACAAAGATAAATAATTTCAGATCTTTTTCCACCTTTAATGTAACCTATAAACTGTAAAACACAGTTGAACAACAAACTGAAATTTTTTAGGTGGAGGAAAGTAAAAATAAAAAACTAAAATAATATGGTTGCATAAGTGTGCACACCCTTAAACTAATACTTTGTTGAAGCGCCTTTTGATGTGATTCCAGCACTCTTTTTGGGTATGAGTCTATCAGCATGGCACATCTTGACTTGCCAATATTTGCCCACTCTTCCTTGCAAAAACACTCCAAATACGTCACATTGCGAGGGCATCTCCTGTGCACAACACTCTTCAGATGACCCCACAGATTCTCAATCGGATTCAGGTCTGGGCTCTGGCTGGGCCATTCCAAAACTTTCATCTTCTTCTGGTGAAGCCATTCCATTGTTGATTTGGATGAATGCTTTGGGTCGTTGTCATGCTGAAAGATGAAGTTCCTCTTCATGTTCAGCTTTCTAGCAGAAGCCGGAAGGTTTTTTTTGCCGATATTGACTGGTATTTGGAACTGTTCATGATTCCCTCTACCTGGACTAAGGCCCCAGTTCCAGCTGAAGAAAAACAGCCCCAAAGCATGATGCTGCTTGGTGATGTGCAGTGTTGTTTTGCGCCAAACATATCTTTTGGAGTTATGGCCAAAAAGTTCAACCTTGGTTTCATCAGACCATAACACATTTTCCCACATGGTTTTGGGAGAATTCAGATGTGTTTTTACTAGATTTATCCGGGCCTGGATGTTTTTCTTTGTAAAAAAAAAAACTTCCGTCTTGCCACTCTACCCCATAGCCCAGACATATGAAGAATAGAGGAGATTGTTATCACATGTACCACACATCTAGTACTTGCCAGATATTCCTGCAGCTCCTTTAATGTTGCTGTAGGCCTCTTAGCAGCCTCCCAGACCAGTTTTTCTGCTCGTCTTTTCATCATTTTGGAGGGACGTCCAGTTCTTGGTAGTGTCACTGTTGCACCATCTTTTCTCCACTTGACTTTCTTCACTGTGTTCCATGCTATATCTTAGGGGTGGGCAACTGTGGCCCTCCAGCTGTTGGTGAACTACAAGTCCCATCATGCCTCTGCCTTTGGGAGTCATGCTTGTAACTGTCAGTTTTGCAATGCCTTATGGGACTTGTAGTTCTACAACAGCTGGAGGGCCACAGTTGCCCACCCCTTGTATATTTAATGCCTTGGAAATTCTTTTGTACCCTTCTCCTGACTGATACCTTTTAACAATGGGATCCCTCTGATGCTTTGGAAGCTCTCTGCGGACCATGGCTTTTGCTGTAGGATGCGACTAAGAAAATGACAGGCAAGACCTACTAGAACAGCTGAACTATATTTGTGGTTAATCAGAGGCACTTTAAATGATGGCAGGTGTGTACTGACTCCTATTTAACATGATTTTGAATGTGAATGCTTAATTCTGAACATAGCTACATCCCCAGTTAGAACAGGGTGTGCACACTTATGCAACAACATTATTTTAGATTTTTATGTTTACCCCCCCCCGAAACAATTTCAGTTTGTTTTTCAATTGAGTTGTAAAGTTTATAAGTCACATTAAATTAAAAGGTGGAAAAAGTTCTGAAATGTTTTATCTTCGTCTCAATTTTTTACATCATAAAAACCTGACATTTTAATAGGGTGTGTGTAGACTTTTTATATATATTGCAGTTAAAGTATAGTATAAGCTAGGATAGTTAGTTAATATGCTACAACCTCTTGGACACGGACACCCCTCTGCCATAGTACCATAGTGCATTTGCTATGTTACTGCCTTCAGGCTACCTCTCACCCCTTACCACGGTTTGGTCTGTTGACCTTCAATATATAATGCAAGCACTTCTGGTCAAAACTTTATGGTGAATTCAGATAAGTACTTGTCTATATGGAGGCATACTTTGCCAACTGAGATATTCTTCTTCCTTATAACAAACATCGCTTCACAATTCTGGATAAACTGAATTACTATACCAGGTGGGCGGCCCGCTTTTCATCGGGAGCAATTATGGATGAGACGGTCATATCATTAAAAAGTCTTTACTGGCGGGCTATGTACAATATTATTGGTTAGCTACTGATATTCATTAATAGCTATACCTGCTGGACAGTATGCAACCATTATCCTTACTGGCATCCACTAACGTCTTTTACTGCTTTGTGTCATATATATTTACATCTTTTGTGTCATATATATATATCTTTTTGCTTGCTGCTACTTACAGTCCATAACTACTACAACAGTCTGGGATCACTGCATTTTGCTTGGCTTCTGCAAAACCATCTTGTTGCTATTTCAGTTTCTCACAATGGATTTTATTCTACTAGTAATACTGAAAAAGAATTACCGTATTTTTCGCCGTATAAGACGCACTTTTTCTTCCCCAAAACTGGGGGGGAAATGTCAGTGCGTCTTATAAGGCGAATATGGAGCGGCGGTCCGGTCCGGTATATTTCCACCGCGGCTGTGTCAGAATACCGGGCCGGCCGCTCAGCTCTGCAGCGGGACCTTACCTGCTCCTCTATCCAGCGGCGCGCTGTCTTCCCGGCTTCTGTAGTGTGGGCACTGGGCATGACAGCCGGGTGCCAAGTGCGCATGCGCAAGAAGCGGTGCTTTTTGTGAATGGTAAGGCGGTACCTGGGACACATGACAGATCCCAGAAGCCGCCGGACCAATCACAAAGCGCAAGTGCTTCTCGCTCATGCGCACTGCCACCCGGCTGTCATGCCGAGCGCCATTACAGAAGCCGGGAAGACAGCGCGCGGCTGGATCGAGGAACAGGTAAGATCAAACAAAAACTCTGCGGAAGTAAGAGCGGGTACCTGTCAAACTCAGGTACCCGCTCCCCACCTCCCCAAAGGTCAGCAGTCATCTGTACTGTCTGCAGTCTCTGGTCATCCCTGTGCTGTCCGCAGTCTCTGGTCATCCCTGTGCTGTCCGCAGTCTCTGGTCATCCCTGTGCTGTCCGCAGTCTCTGGTCATCTCCTGTACTATGTCTGCAGTCCATTAGTTCAGAATTTTTTTTTTCCTGTTTTCTGCCTCTAAAACCTAGGTGCGTCTTATGGTCAGGTGCCTCTTATACGGCGAAAAATACGGTACCATATGCACTTTACCATCCACTGCCTGCATATTGAGGAGAGCCATTTGTGACTGGCTTTGGAACATACGAATGAACTATATAGTCAGACAGCAGCAATGATGTTACAATATACAGTATGAGTAACTCAGGCATATTGGTATACTTAAGAAATTGCATGTTTTGAGAGATACGTGTGAAATACTAATACTAATGGAGTACCTCATGGGACTGGCCTTGCCTATAAGTGGTAACCACTTGCCTTCCTCAGGATTTACCCCCCTTAATGACCAGGCCTCTTTTTGCTACTTGGCGCTGCACTAATTCAACTGATAATTGCGCAGTCATGCAATGCTGCACCCAAACGAAATTTACATCCTTTTTTTCACACAAATAGAGCTTTCTTTCGGTGGTATTTGATTACCTCTGCGCTTTTTATTTTTCACGCTATAAACAAAAAAATACCGAAAATTTTGAAGAAATCTATATTTTTTACTTTCAGTTATAAAAATTATATAGTAAACTCAAATTGTTATAAATTTAGGCCAAAATGTATTCTGCTCCATGTTTTTGGTAAAAAAAAACCCAGTAAGTGTATATTGATTGCTTTGTGTGGAAGTTATAGCGTCTACAAACTATGGTATAGATACTGCAATTTACACCATTTTTTTGCTATACAGCGCTGCGTTAGCTTAACGGACAATTGCGCGGTCATGCAATACAGTACATAAATGAAATTTACCCCCTTTTTTTCCCACAAATTGAGCTCTCTTTCGGTGGTATTTGATCGCCTGTGCGTCTTTTTATTTTTTGCGCTATAAAAAAGGCTGACAATTTTGAGGAAAAAAAAAATATTTTGGCCTTTTTGCTATAAAACATGTCCAGTAAAAAAAAAAATTAAAAATCATATTTAGTCATAAATTTCTGCCAAAATGCATTCTGCGACATCTTTGCTAAAAAAAAAAAAAACCAATACGTGTAAATTAATTGGTTTACGTGAAAGTTATAGCGTTTACAAATGGCGGGAAAGATACTGGGATTTTTAAATTTTTTTATACTAATAATGGCGGCGATCAGCGACTTATGGCGGCGATCAGTGACTTATGGCGGGACTACGGCGGACATTCTGACTGGGGGGGGGGGGGATACTGACTTGGGGTCACTTGGGGTCACATCCCCAGTGACACCAATACAGTGATCAGTGCAAACAAAAAACACTGACACTGTACTAATGGCACTGGGGAGGAAGGGGTTAACTTTATTATTCACTGAAAGGGTTAACTGTGTGAGGGGGAGTGTTTTACTAGGGGGCGGGGTGTGTACTGCACAGACACACTGATCCGGACAGATAAACTCTCCTGTCCTGATCAGCATGTCAGAAGCTGTCAGCGAACTGACAGAAATCACAGCTACTGCAGCCCTGCTCTCTGTCAGTGATTGCCG